CATTTCTGGAGATCAAAGATGACTAAATGATCATACAATGACAAATCACTTTAAAGTATATAATATTAACAAGGAACCCGCTCAACTACCCTTAGGGGTTCCCTGGACCCCAGTTTAAACTGTCTGCTCATTTAAAGAAACTGCTGATTTTAAAGAACCTTTAATAGATTCGTCATAGAACCATAAATGCTAATAAACTAAAAATTAAAATGTACTTATTTTACAATTGTGTGGCAGAGAAGCATTCATTAGATCTCTAAAGTATTTATAATAAGACATTTTTTGGGGAAACAAAATTATTTGGAACTTTATTTTGAAGATTGTACTAGGAAGCTGTTATATAACAATAATAATGAACAAGAATTATTATAATGAACATCACTGTAGTCCAGAGGTTTTATTTTGTACATATAGTTTTACGTGTCAAATAGAATAATATGTACATTTCCCCCTTTCGTACACATAATGGTTACATACGATTTCCATCCACAGACATGATCTTTCACACTTTGTTCTGCATCATAACCACAAACGCTATTTTAAGACATGCTTTTAACACCTCTTCATTTGATGTTTTATGCAGTTGTTTGGGCTAGAGTTAAGAATCAGATAAATAATAAGCATAATGAATAAAAAAAAAAAATCTAAATCATCTGAAATTTGAACAAAAATGGTTTTACTTTTTATTACTGTTATATAAATACCATACTCACCTGAGGATTTTACATCAGATATTAATATATTCTGCAACTGAAAGTGATTGTTTTATATCATATTAATGTGACTCATGTTTTTAAGTTAACCAAAATGAAAAAAATAAAAAATCTGTGTATTTAGTCTGTGTATGGATAGTATTATTACATTAATTAGTATTATTACATTAACATCTAGCATTAGAGAGCAGAATGCACTGAAAGCAAGTAAAGCAAAAATACCAGACCTCCAGTAATTCTATGTGATTTTAATGTAAATGAACTCACCCACTGGCCATCCAAGACTTGACTTTTTTCTTCAGTAGAACATTTAGGAAGATTTTAGCTGTGGTCTTTGGTGAATTAATAAATGCATGTCAGTTGCTAATTTGTGAGTAAAACATACAATACAGTGATACATTCGTGTCTTACGAAGCAAAAAAGCCAGATAAGTTGACACGATAAGCAAATTGGCTGTCTACACCAAACGTGACGTACAGTAACATGACAACAACATTTATATATTAGCCACTACACTCAAAAGCACTACACTGGCAAAAGCTTTTAATTTAATTAATACATATTAAACCTCTTTAACATTGTTAATAGGCTACTTAGTGACTCATGTTGTTAGTTTGCACTGGGTCACAGTTCGGACTTTCATTTTCAAACCGTCTGTTTGAATTAGTTGAATTCAATTATTTTCTGAGGTGAACAATCTGCTGCAGCTGCTATCAATACTATGTTCATAAATGTCAAGTGAATTAGTATTTAAACTCACACGGGTAACATGTAACACTGATTAAGCACATAATCTGTCCCTGAGGTGATAATTGTCATTGCAGCATATGCTGTTGTCCCGCCATAACATTGCGAAAATAGAAAGCATTTCTAAAATAGAAATTTTGCAAATCACAGTAGCAGATGGTCAGAACAAAACCTCTTTTTAACATGGGAAAAAAAAACAATCCTTTTTTAAACTTTCTAATCAAAAAGTTTCACTTTGTCGCCCTGATTTGACGAGGGGGCGGAGTCAAGGAAACGGCTGTAAGACCACCTCAGTGATATTTTCTCCCCAGGTGATGACATCACAAATTGAGGCAGGTCTGGGTGTGCTGTAAATGCCCAAGTTCTGTTGACTCTGCCCCCTTTTCAAATCAGGGCCACAAAGTGAAACACGCAGAAACGTGAAGTGCAAAGTGAAAACAGCATCGCAACTCACGGTTGACTAAAAAGCAAATCAAAATGAGGATTGCAACTGACTGGATGGTTTTTGTAAAGGCAATGCTATAAAAAATGTTGTGCATCGCTAGTTTTTTTTTAAATTGCAAATAGTTGTTATTTTGCACAGCTTGATTTTTATTTGCAGATTTTTTTTTTGTTTGCAAATTCAATTTTTATTTCTCAAAACCTAATTTTTCCTTTGCAGAGCTCTTTATTTTTGTTAGCAAAATAAATTTTTATTTATCAAAAATGTACTATGGATTTGCGATTTTTAAAGATTTGCATTAATTATTATTTTTTTATTTATTATTATTTTTGTATTGATCAATACTTTATTTTTTGTTTGCAAACTCTTTTATTTTGCAAGTAAACAGTATATAGCCCTAGATTGAATCCATAGTTACTTACTATTTTAAATTATGGGCCAGTATAAGACTCTAAGGGTTTGATAAACGTGGATAAAAAAATCAGGGTTTCACGGTATCATAGTAATGTGATTACTGCTATAAAATATATTCAATATTTTATTTTGAAAAACTTTTTAAATATTTTGGAGCAGTAAACATGTCAGGCTAAAACATGTTAATGAATTATTGACTTCTGCTGTCTTCATTAGTTTCAAAAACACAGATTTCTTTACAATTTAAAATGGCATCATTGTATATCTTTTCTGCTGAAGATGCTGTTGTTTTAAAAAAAAACTGTAAATAAAAAAAATCTTAAACATACCGTAGGAACAGCATTACAGACAATTTTGGCGGTCTTAAAACCTTGACTTTTCCAAACCGCAGTATACCTTGAAAAAGGTTATCGTCCCATGCCTATTTGTAATTATTTCATACATTTTTTAGCAATTACTGAGGAATTTGTAGACAGCGTTTGACCAATTCTCAGAATGTTCACACTTCTTTCAAAGCATTTTCTTATTTAATGTAAGATTTTTTTATATACATTTAAAAATTCATCCAATGTTAAGCATGTGTAAATATGCAAGCATGCACATCTGTGAACACAATATTACTCACTCATCTCAGACATATGAAAAAACACAACTGAAGTTGAAAACATTAACATTTATTTATTGATTAAAAGGTTATACATTTTATGATAAATATGGTCTTTTATTGTATTATTGGCAAAGATACTATGATTCAAATTGCATTTCTATACATAAATACAAAAATCTGAGGTAGGGCCTCAAGGATAAATGACATTTAAAATAAATTATGCCTTTTCATATATATTTATTTTTCTCATTTTATATATTTTTTACACTCTTTTTTTCATTGTTGTCCGGCATAGGATTCAAAATCTAGATATTTGTCATATTTATACTCTACAATCAAACTCAAAGGATGCCATGATCAGTTGGAGGTACGCATCTGTATCCATAGGCAGATTTCCCTCATGTAAAACACACAGAAATATATGACATTACCCAAGTAATAAGACATTTTACCTATGCTCCGATAGGTCCACAGTAAAGTGCCAAATGACACGACATACATTACAATATAGACTGACCACATAATGACTGATTGGAAGCTACTCTGTATCGTTATTCTGAAATACACATAATAGTTTATTACCAGAGGACATCTTTAAGGCCAAAGGTTACCTGAAGATGTCATTTAACATATTGGCACACATCAATAATGACCACTAGATGAAGGATGAGTGGCAGTATCTCAGTCTCCTAAATACACAGAATAATATAGTTTATTTTCTTTTGTTTATATATATATATATATATATATATATATATATATAGGCTTTTTGTATATATATATTTATTTTTTTCATATATTTGTTGTATATCGTCTTTTAGAATGTATGTTTTCTTTTTTTTCAGAACCTTTTGAGAAGTTCTCCTTCTTTGGTTGCCTACTGCCCAGTGTCGCCCTGTAGGTAGGAAGAGGTGGTAAACTCACATTCGGGAAAAGGAGCGGAAAGGGGAAGCAAACATGGACAAATAATCCACAGCAACACAAACAGCACATGCAAGACTGGTACGTATTATTATTATTATTTTTTTTTTACCCATAGAATATTTGTTACGTGAAGGGAGTGTAACTATAGCTCTCGGACAGACGTACAGCAACACAAGGACTAACAGAAACTCCATCCAGAACCTTAAATATTACAATAATGATAACCACAGCAGCTGTTAACAGTTCAGATATTTAAATGTGCTTTGAACATTTTGTTGTTGTTGTTGTGCTATGCATGATACACTCTTAAAATAAAGGTTCTTAAATAGAGATTAAACATTTCTCCAAAGAGACATTTTTAAAATCCAGTTGCTATAATGTTTTTTGAGCAACGTATACAGAACCTTTTGTGAAAGAAAAATCATAAAGGGCACCCATTTTACCCCTTTTTCAAGATTTAAGTCTTTTGTGTCTCCAGAATGTGTTTTAGCTCAAAACACCCATCAGATTATTTATTATACCTTTCAGAATATTGAAATTTACTGTTCTGAACAATATGTAGCTGTTTTTGTTGCCTGTGCCTTTAATGCTGGTTGTGCCTTTAATGCTGGTTCTCCCCACTCACTGTTCCCACGTGCCTGTCAGAGTGTGCCGTAGTCTCCGACTGCATCAGTTTAACAGCACAGTGACAGACTTGAGGACAGCAGATATCACTTTACGTTTGTAAGAAATACTACAGTAAGAACTTTCCCAATGATTATTTAATGTATTTGTTTTGTTAATTCAAGTAAATTCAGTAAAATCATTGTAATTCATTACAAACATGCAGTTTTAGAAACGTTTTGAACTTGTAAAACTCATTCTTGATCACATTTGATGATTGATGATGACAGCGAGCTCAACAGATCTTTTAATCCCTTTGCACACGTCCTGTCTTGTTACTAGAACCATGTTATACGAGGCTGCAAAATCAAATCGTTCGGTGGGGAAACTGCACTCCTACATCACGTTTTGGTGGACCTCAAAATGGGAAAGATTTTCGCTTTCTATCACAATTTGACTGTGGACACACTATACATACACACAGTTCTTTCCAAACAGCTTCCAAAAGGTGATTTTCATCATAGGTGCCCTTTAAAAAGTTTTTTTTTCGTTGGCATTGATGGTTTCATTCCACAAAAAATATCTTTACAGTGGAAAAAAGGTTCTTTAGATTATGAAAATATTCAGAACACTATGAAAGAAATTGACCCTTGAAGAACTTCACTAAAAGTTTCTTTTTCCTACCAAAAAAGGTTCTTCTATGGCATCTCTAGGGAAAACCCCCATTTGGTTCTTTACAGCACCTTTATTTTTAAAAGTTTGGAACCCATAATGTCAATAAAGAAGCTTTATTTTTAAGAGTGTAACTTTTTTAAAATAAGTACTGTATTTTCCAGAAAAATGGCTTTAAAGACCTGAATGACAAGCATCAGTGTGTTAGCGTTTACTTCTTTTTGAAGCGTATGCTTTCAAAAGAGAATAGATTCTGATTGGCTGTTCATGTTTTTTTTTGTGCTCATGAGGTGAAAAAACAGTTTAAAGGTAATTCTAAAATTGTTCCTGTCATTACAGCTATTGTGGACTTCTGCCATATATATTTTTTGTTTTAATAAAATTAATAAAGATTTTTATAACTTTTCTTTTATTTTACAAGACTTAACACACTATTCAGATTATAATAATCCAACTTATATTCTGGAAAATACTGTATATAAATACTGTATAGCAATTTCAGTGCATACAAACCAAGTATATTGTGGATCTCAAACTGACTACCAGGCTGCATTTGATCATGTCTGGATGGTTGGATTATTATAAATATATATGTATATACTGTAACATGAAACGCTGCATATATTTCCACACATTCACACACACACAAACGTATACTACACAGAGATTAAACATGTATCAGAAAAAGCATCTCTTTTATATATACTGAGGAACACCTTTGTTCTGTTTTATAAATGCTGAATATTCAAGGTGATTAGTGTAATATCTGCATATTACATGGCTTTTGAAACACATCACTCCCAGGCAAAGTTATTATTCTGGTTATTGCGTGGGCAGTGTGGCTTTCTTAATTTGTAATACTATCTAAACTATATTCACAGTAGTTATCATTCAGATATACATTTTTAACCAACCAACCAATAAACAATAAAAATAAAATACTACTTGCTTTTTAGTTTTAGCTTTTTTTTTAACCATTGTGGTTTTTTAAAGAGCAACCACCAAATTTTGCGTGATGTTTACTCAAAGTGCTTCTTGTAATCGTCTGTTGCCCAAAGCAATATTACTATAACATTATATCTGTAACCATATTTACAGTCCAATATCTGGAAACAGGACAATAATAATATACGTAAGAATTCAGTTTCTCAATATATGGCCTTATATTCTGAACAATATGCACTTTTATGTATCGGTTATATAATTACACTACAAAGAAAAATGAAGCTTCCACAAGCTGTTATCCAACATATGATACGTTTGATGGAACGGAGTAATACCTGAGACCCTGTTTCATGAAGACAAACAGACAAACAGAGATGGATGACGTCCATAACCAAAAACAAAAGGAGTGTGGTCCCAAAGCACATGATTTCAGATCAAAAACATTAGCTTTTTTATCCTAATCTACATATCCTGTGCAAGCAACTGTTAAAAAATATCATCACCTAGATCTAAAATATAATTTTTTAAACAGAATTACCAGACAAACACCACACTCCTAAGTTTTTCCTCGGCTTTTCTTTTTTGTGCTCCACTAGAACTGTGTACTGCATAAGAACATGAGGATTCACAACAGATCACGACACGTACTCGAAAGCATACTCTAAATATTAGTATACATACATAACTGCTAGTTGGCCGTTGAGTGCTACTCTAAACAACACTGAAAGGTATTATTACAGTTTTGCATGGCTAATTTTTCTCTGAAGAAAGGGATGGATCTACTGTTCACTACTGGAAACCTACGCTATGAGTTTTGCTTCTATACCACTGTAAAGATAATTCGGATAGAGATATATATCTGTACATATAGAGATATGTAGAGATATTTTTAGTAAGAAAGAGTAGTATAATTCACAGAGACTGAAATGCGCTCACTTCCCTCCATAATGTAGTATGATTGGTTTAATTAGCACTATACTATGCAGTATTTTATAAATAGAGGAAGTCTGAGGCACAAGGTACAGCTATAAGTGGACACGAGTGGAGAGCGATACCAGAAAAGAGTTCAAATTCACTGTGCACTACTCAGCAGCTTATTTCAATTATGTTGCTGTATTTAAGAGATGACAAGCAAATAGTCCATAAATATAAATATTATTCTCATCATTTTTGTTCTCGCTCTCTTTTTTTTTTTTTACATCAGCAGTCACTTCAGAATGAAAAATAAATTAAAAAACAACCACTGCATGATGCACAGTCAGTCAAATATTGCCTCAACAGTTGCAACAGCATCATTATATTGCCTCTGAGAAAGGATTCAGCTGGGATCGAATGCGCATGACCTCCACTCTCAAACCGACTAGAATTATCCAGAAAACCAAAAAAAAAAAAAAAAACCTAATTATAGAAGTTACTGTGCTTTCCACCTGAAAGAACCCCTCAGAAAGAGCCGGAAGAGGGGGATATGGCTGAAAGAGAGCGCTATGGATAGAAGGGGAGGTTGAAAGGGAAGAGTTTGGTGTGAGTGCTGGTCTCACCCTCAGGGGTCTCGGGATATTTCACACTCACAGGGAAGGAGGAGGATTATTGATATTGGGCTGATAGCTGGAAATCTTTGGGGGGGAGTTTGAGGCCGAGGGAGTTCGTGCCAAGTGGGTCGATCATGTTCTTGTAGCGTTCGCCACGGTGTTTCATCAGGAACGGACCCCAGTCGGGTTGAGGAGAACATACCAACTTCAGACGCTGCAGAGAAAGAGGAAAAAGGGCATGAATAGTGCATAAAGCCGGGACACACAAAGCCAACAGTCTGTCGTTGGGCAGCATAGGGCCATCTGTGAGCTTCTGTCAGGATAATTTATTTGGTGTGTTCCACATGTATTTGCAAATTATATGAATTATCAGGTTATCTGACATATTTGCAACAGCAAACTCCTCTGTTGTGAGTGAGAAGAACAGTGAAAATGATACACTGCTTTGTTTACAGTTTTTATGTGGGATGCACTAGTTCCAGTTTCCTTTTGTGGAATGACAATACAGTCTACTGGCTTCTGCAGGCAGTGTTGGGGAATGTTTTTGTTTTAAATGCAATACATAGCAATCTTGCGTCACCTTCTTTTTTAAAATGTGCTACTTAGTTAATTTTTATGCAAACTAATGTGCCATGTTGTTTTTGCTTTTTTTTATCTCAGCTGAGCTCGTAATATACTACTTTTAAAAGTAACTTTTCCCAACACCGTCGGTGGGTATTGACCTTATTCTGCAATGTGGAAATTACAATTGTTTTAGAACTTCCGAATCAGTTGCCTGTAGGAGAAATAAACAGCAGATAATGGTCAAATTAATTGCTTTACAAACAATCATGTTCATGACTATTCATAAAAAGTAGAATATCAGTTTGCAGCATCCTGGAAGTCTTGAGCCTATAAGCTTACAATAGTGGTAAAATAATGCAAATTTTAAGGCAAACTAAATATTTAAAAAATATATATTTCATATTCACCACTGTCATTTAACTAAAATTAATAAAAAATGATTAAATGCTGTAGAAATATATAAAAATAAAAAAATAAATGACAACAATAAAAAACAAGTAAAACAAATAATAATAACAAATAATTAAAATAAAATATCTAACATAAAAAATATTTAAAATATAAATAAAACTATAATAGTATTTCAGTGATACTAAAAAACACAGATTTTGACACCACAGGATACATTACAAGTACAGTATTCAATTAAATCTTAACATTGTTTTGACACTGATATACATATACCCACAGACATTTTTAAACTATTAATCTAAATATTAAAATATCAACACTTTAATATTTACTGTATAGTAACTGTATAGTAGAGAACAGAAAAAAACTCTCTGTTACCTCAATTAAAGATCCAGGAGCAAGATGCATCTTAATAGCAAACATGATGGGAATCCATATAACAGAACAGATGACCATAAGCCAGCCGAGTACCATAGACCAGTTCGGATAAGTGTAATCCTCATACGTCATCACCTTCCACTGGTACAGACTAAGTGCCAAAATGAACTAAAGAGACACACAGAGAGAGAAATACTGATTAATATGCAATTTAAATGACAAAATAAATGTCCTTCATAATTCATATTTCTCTATAATTACAATATTGTGCTTTTGTTTGTTTTTAAAAAATAGGTTTAAATAATGTAAATCAAGCCAAAGTATCATTTTCTCAAATATCAGCACCTGATCATAGTGGCAAATTTGATATTGAATTAATACAACCGCTCAACAAACGAGATGTTAATGCTAAGTGAATGTATTTATCCATGAAAGGTCACAGTACCAACAGAAAAATACAATCACACAAATGTAGTTTTTATTCATTAATTTTCTTTCGGCTTATTCTCTAAGTCCTGCCAACTATTCCGGCATATGTTTTACAGAGCAGCACAACCCAGTACCGGGAAACACCCATACACTCTCATTCACACACACTCATACACTATGACCAATTTAGTTTACCTAATTGACCTATAGCGCATGTTTTTGGAGTGTTGGGGAAACCGGAGCACCCAGAGGAAACCCACAAGAACATGGGGAGAACATGCAAACTCCACACAGAAATGCCAACTGGTCTAGCCAGAACTCGAACCAGCGACCTTCTTGCTGTGAGGCGAAAATGCTAACCACTGAGCCACCGTGCTGCACAAATGTAGTTTTATATGTGGTAATTGTTCTGATCCCCCCCAAAAAATCTACAAATTATATCATCATCAAAATATACCCTAAAATATATAATTTTGATCAATTGTGTATCACTAGATGTATCTACAGGAATGGTCGTATATAAAAGCCTGTGCAAATTTAGACATACTGTGAGAATGGTTGGAGTGACAAAGGCCCAGCACACTCTCCAAAACTTGTTTGGCTGGAAGCCGATCATCATCTCAATGTCCTCACAAAACCGCTGTAGACCTGAAATGCGAAGAAAGAAAGAAATAACATAAATGAGCAAACATGTTGGCTATATACGGTTGAAGACAAAATTACTAGCCCTCCTCTGACATTTTAATTATTTTTCCTATATTTCCCAAGCAATCTTCAACAGAGCAAGGAATTTTTTCACAGCATTTCCTCTTATATTTATTTCTTCCGCAGAAAGTCTTATTTGTTTTAGTTTGGCTGGATAAAAAAAGCAATACTTAAAAAATTAAAAATTAAAAACTTGCCTAGTTTAACAAGTGAATCTAGTTAAAGTCTGTGGGAACTGGATGTTGTTTTTCAATATGGTGATGTTTACAACTGAATCGGAATGTTTATTAGGGGGCGGGGTTTTATTTTTAGCTCCTTCTATTATTTTTCACTCACAGCACACTAATGATTGGAGGGCTGTGGCTAAGCATATTTTGCACAATCTGTCAAACCGACATCAATCTTGCACAGAACAATTGTTCACTTTAAGACTAACAATGTGCGCTAGCAAAATAAACTGTAAATTTTGATTTTATGCATTTTAAGCCTTTAAATTGCAGCTGAATACTAGCATCTTGCAAAATAACTAGTAAAATGTGTAAAATATCTAGTATAACTAGTAATTAGTTGTAGTTATCGCCATTAAACAGCCAAATTTTAGAAGAGGGTTAATAATTTTGGTCTCAATATTGGTCTGGATCCGCTTGTTAAGTGTGACGTTGCGCAAAGTGGCTTCCGGGTCCAAGCTTTTTATCAAACTGTATGGGTAAACTCAACATATACTAATAATAAATGTTTACAAAGATCTGTAATACTTACGAAAATCACGATTGCAATATATATATATATATATATATACATACATACATACATACATACACATACATATGTATGTATGTATATAAATGAGTATATGTACAGTTTGCACACTTCTGATTATTAATAGCAACCTGTACATATACTCATTTACTGTAAATCTGTTCATAGCTAATACAACCTGTATATAATGTTCATAGTAAATCCATCTGTAAATATCACCTTTTTTTTTTATCTATAGCTGCACTTTATACCTGTATCCTGCACTTGCTGCTATTGCACTGCTGGTTAGACCTAAACTGCATTTCGTTGCATTGTACTTGAACATGTGTAATGACAATAAAGTTAAATCTAATCTAATCTAATCTTTTATATATATATATATATATATATATATATATATATATATATATATATATATATATATATATATATATATATATATATATATATATAGTTAAAGTCAGAATTATTCGCCCCCCTGTTTATTTTTTTCCCCAATTTCTGTTTAACGGAGAGAAGATTTTGCATTTCTAAACATAATAGTTTTAATAACTCATTTCTAATAACTGATTTATTTTATCTTTGCCATGATGACAGTGAATAATATTTGACTAGATATTTTCCAAGACACTTCTATACAGCTTAAAGTAACATTTAAAGGCTTAACTAGGTTGATTAGGTTAACTAGGCAGGTTAGGGTAATTAGGCAAGTTATTGTATAATGATGGTTTGTTCTGTAGACTACCGAAAAAAATATAGCTTAAAGGGGCTAAAGATTTTGCCCTTAAAAGGTTTTTTAAAAAATTAAACTGCTTTCATTCTAGCTAAAACAAAACAAATAAGACTTTCTCCAGTAGAAAAAATATTATCAGACATACTGTAAAAAAATTTCCTTGCTCTGTTAAGCATCATTTGGTAAATATTTGAAAATGAAAAAGAAATTCAAAAGGGGGCTAATAATTCAGACTTTAACTGTATATCCATGCCTAATATCCGATAGCGAGAAAGTGATACATTTTTATAAATTAAAATATTGATGTCTGTGATGCAGCAAGTCAAGAGACTGTACAGTAGTATAAATGATGTTATATAAAACTCACTTTAAAGTGTGATCAAAAGGACATAAACGAATATTTTCTCAATTCAAATGAGTAGTGGGTTGGACCCAGAAACAGTATTTCATACGTCATGACTTAACAAGCGGATATTCTTTTGACATTTACTGTAATTTATTTAAATTCTAACTAACAAAATAACTAAACGCACTATACAGTATATAAAAAAAACTGGCTTAACAAATTTAGAATGTTTTTATATTGAGACTATTGCAGTCTCATCTGCTTGCTAAACTATTTTCTTTTTTCTTATTATCTTTTCATTTCCCACCAAACATTAGATGTGCACTAAAATAAATAAAAGAAACACTAAGATCTAAAGAAAAAAATATTACTAATGTTTTGCTTCTTACACTCTTTGCACACCTAAAACTTGCCTACAGCATTTATTCATTGATGCTCTTATAGTTGTGTAAATTGCTTCCTTGTCCTCATGTGTAAGTCGCTTTGGATAAAAGCATCTGCTAAATGACTAAATGTAAATGTAAAGATAAATGAGTGTAATCTAGACTCACCATAAATGTAAGAGATTCCGACCAGTTCAAATATGGCGATGATGACGAGAGAGTAAGAGGCTGCGAATGTGTCCACCAGCTGAAGCATGTACATCCCACTCTATAGGCAAAAACACACACAGATAGACACACTTTAACATAATAATACAAAAAAAAAAAAATACATCATGAATCCTAATCTAGAAAACAGCCAATAAATGACTTTAATTAAAAGCAGTAAACTACAATTAAATCTTGGGCATTCCAATTTTCTGCTTTAGGAGTTTCACTCTAGTCTGTTTACTTTCCTATTTACTTTGGGGTTTTTATTGTTTACTAGAGAGCCGCTTTAATTAAAGTAAGTGTTGGTAGTTGAGAATAATAGTAAATGTCATACCTCAGTGATCATGGGGAAACCCAGCACGAAAAAGGACAAACAGCATACTAATGTGAATTGAGGTTTGTGTTTGCGCAGGTATTTGGGAAACTCATCAGAAACAGATGTCACTATGGTCTCTATGGTGGCAAACTAAGAGAAAAAACAAACAAACATAGTTATTTATTTGATACAGCTGGGCAAATCGTTTAAGGGTTAGTTCACCCAAAAATGTTCTGGTATTAATTACTCGCCCTCATGTTATTCCAATCCCCTGACCTTTTGTTAATCCTCAGAGCATGAAATAAAATGACTTTGGGTGTAATTCAAGAGCTCTCTCATCCTCCATAAACAGCAACTGTACAGAAATGTTCAATGTCCAGAAAGGGAATCAAAAATATTGTCAAAACATTCCACGTGACTTCAGTGGTTCAACTGTAAATATATTCAAAGCTCCAAGAAGCACCAAAAACTGTACAAACTGTACTAAAACATTTTATTCAACCAACGTTTTTTCTTCACTCCAAGTAAGGTTGTGCATTACTATGAGTAGTATTACATAATTAGAGTAAGCAGCGCAACATGCATGCATTGCATGACCTGTAGAAGACGCAAGTAAAGTAAGTACTAGTTAAATGATGTTTTTTGGCACACAAAAGTGTTCTTGGAACTTGGTAGGATTACAGTTGAACCACTGAAGTCACATTAAACCACTTAACAATGTCTTTTTCTGGAATCTAAATGAAACCCTGGACCATTGCTGTCTGTGAAGGTTGAGAAAGAACTTGAATTTTATTTGAAAATGTCTTAATTAATCCATAAATGAACAAAGGTCTCAGAGGTTTGGAATGACATGAGGATGAGTAATTAATAACAGAATTTGACTTTTTTTCTGGTGAAATAACTCTTTAACATCAAATTATGGAAATCTTAACATTTATGATTGATATTACCATAGTGTCCAGGCCAAGTGTAAGTAACATAAGGAAGAAGATGATGGCCCAGAAAGGTGACAAAGGAAGCCTGGTCAGAGCCTCTGGATACACAACAAATGCAATTCCTGGACCTATAGAGAATATTTACAGAGCAGGTTGGAGTTCTCATACTTGGAAGACAATGAAAACAAAAGCCATTTTTGAACACACTGGTAAATTAACAGTTTATTTTCATTTTCAGATCATTTGTGAACAGGACTTTTTAAAAAATTGTAGTAAATTAGAAGTTTTTGTTACATAGGGCACTCCTAAAACCTTGCCAGGGGTGTATTACTTTCACAAAAGAATGTTTTGCGTCTAATCTTTGTTTTGTGGAAAGTTGTCATGTAATAATAAGGATAAAGTAAATCCAGGCGGTTGTTTTCACAGAATAAACATACCATGAAAGTTACCTCAGTTTTTGGAACAGAAAGCTGAGGTTATCAGTTTACATATTCTTAAACTTAAGCAGGTATGTCACATAAACTGCTTTCTGGAAAACCCCCTAAGTATAAACACATGATCAGATATTTGAATAAACCCAAGTTTAGCGATTCTGAAAACTCCACAAACTTTTCTATCGGTGACTGATCTGAATGCCTCTGACTGACTTTGTGGCAAACTGACATTATTTATTTTCGCATTTCACTTGAATTGCAACAGCTGTTCATGGGAATTTTTGCCCCGTTATCTAGAGTTTTTGTGGGCTATTTCTGTTGTGTCAACCATTAGAGATCCACAGTTTTTTTTGCCTATTTGCTTTTAAAACATGTTCGATGGGATTAACAAAAATACAAAACACATGCCATTACACAACATACTGTACCTTCATCTGCCACACTCTCAATGGGGACTTTGAGCTCATGAGCCATGAATCCTATGACTGAAAAAATGACAAAACCGGCAAATATACTGGTGGCGCTGTTCGTACACGTCACAATGAGTGTATCCCTGTAAAACAAAACAGACAAAGCACAGGATACATTACAACTGAACATCAAAAATAATAACATTATTATTAACAGAACATGTCATATTTTGAGCATGTGCAATCTTGCTGTCATTATTAAATATTTAGTCCGTATGAAATCAAAATTTACAATGTTTATTTTGCTAGCGCACATAGTTATTCTTTAGGTGAACAAATAGTCTATATTTGAAAATGATTGTTTTGGTAATCTTCTAAATCTAACCATTGTTCTTCTCTGTTGACCGCTTCAGCCACAATATTCTTAACCTTACAGTTAGTTTGAGGTAATGATATGCAAAAAGAAAGCCCCACCCTTTACTTAATATTCCATTTCAGTTGGAAGTACATCAACATACTGAAATAAAAGTCTCAGCATCTTCTGGTGGCATCTTTGGACTTTAAAGTGTTTGAGTGTTAGTGTTTATTTTGCTAGCTCACATTGTTATTCTTGTGGTGAATATTTAATCCGTGCAAGTTAATGGGGTACAGTATATGCACACAGACTTTTAATTTCAGCCAGCCAGCCTTAGAGCTTCTGGTGAACTGTCTTTCTGTTTAAACTTAAATTTTTTCTTTAAAAATCAGTGATCTTCACTGTCTAAAAGATATACGATATGGGTCTCAGACCGAACAAGAAGCACTGCATTAAATTCCATTTCCCCCTGCCATGTCTTTAAAATATGACAGTTTATTTTACCCTAGTGTTTTCAATGGAGTTTCTGCACTCGCCTGCTAATCTTGACCTTAAAAAGATCTTGCTGATCTTAAAAGAAACCTTATGAAATTAAAAATAGTCACATTAAGCTTTCACTGGAAGTTATCATTGTCTGAAAAACACTGGCTGTGCATATAGTGCCTATGTAATGCATATACTGTGCATATATATTTGTTTGTTGTGGTATTCTTCAATCATAATCTTGACCATTCGCTTCTGCTTTTGCAGTGGCGGTCCATCAGTTGACATCAACTTAAAGGCTTCCATAGCAACTGCATATTAACACTCTTATCAATAAGTTTGCTATGAGTTTTCTATGTGCAAAAAGAAGCCCCGCCCCCTACTTAATATTCCATTTCAGTTGGAAGTGCATCAACGAACTGAAATACAAGTCTCAGCAACTTCTGGTTTACACAGTAGCTGCATCCCTAAATGGCACACTAAGCACTTATGCACTATGTACTTACACACTTAACAGCAAAGTATATGAATTTAGTGTCATCCCAAATGGACACTAACGTTTCGTTTTACTTAGTGGAAATTCAAACCGTTTCCCAGATGACGTTTGACGATTGCCAAATTAGCCAAATAAATGACCTGCCCTGCCATGAGTATAACTGCATTCACCATCGGGAGGCGCTATAATCACTCTTGTAGAACAATTTTGCTTACACAATCCAAAATAAATAAAGTAATACAACAACAGTGACCGAAAGCTCCGCCCCTTCCGCTATGTGAGCAAAACTGCAGCCGCAGAGTACGTAAAGTGTCCAACATTCCACACTTCTTTTTAACCGTTAAATAAGTGCATCAATTGGATTTTTAAAGTGCACTACTCTTTTTAGAGTTAAAGAAATACTGTATTTCAGTGTGAAAGCATTACTTACACTATTTATACTACAAAATGGCATAGAATAGTGCATAATTATGTGATTTGAGGCGCACCTACAGACTTTAAAAAACTGTATTTTAAACAACGATTTTATTTGTCATTTGTTTACATTTAATAGTATATATTTCAAAATAGTATATTTAAATATAAGCTTGATTTCTTTCAGGGTCACAAGATTTTTTAGAAATCGTGCTAAAAACAGTTCATATTTGTCAGGAATTCTCTATTTTAGTATTTCTTTTATGGATTGAAGGCTAAAAAGAACAGCTTTTATTGAAATACAAATTGTCTAAGAAAAAAGGCATTGCTGGTTACCTGTAACAGTTGTTGTGAAACTTATTGTAGGATGACAAGGTTATCAGTCCACCCCATGCTGCAGACAGAGAGAAGAAAATCTGCGTGGCTGCGTCTTTCCAAACCTACAGTTAAAGCAGAGAAAGAGAGAAAGAAATACAGATAGAGAGACTAAGAGGGAAAATAGGATTGAATCTGGAGGAGAATACATCAAACAGAAAGCATTATACCATCAAACATAGGGAAAATTAATAATTAGATATGCACCATGCCTTCTATTACCTTAGCATCGTTGAGTTTTTCCCATTTGGGTGTTATGAAGTAAAGGATTCCAGAACCGGCTCCAGGCAGAGTGACTCCTCGGATAAGCAGAATGACCAACACCACATAAGGGAACGTGGCAGTGAAGTACACCACCTGGACACAAGGTGGACATCACAATAAACCAAACTTATTAAGGACAACAGCTCCAAAAACATGATTATAAATTAGTCCTAGTGCTTGATTCTGATTGGCTAACCTATTTTTGCAATATAACGGTTTATTTATTTACTGAAGTGTTAGTGACTTCTGGCATTATAGTTAAAATTCTTGAGACTACACCCCTTTTTTAGGCGGCTGCGCATGTGTGAAAGTCCTCAGTTCATTGATATGGCATTGTGCACTACCTGACAAAAGTCTTGTCGCAAGTTTTAGGAACAACAAATAATAACTTGACTAGTTGATCATTTGGTATTAGAGGTGGCTTATATGAAAGACGAAGGCCTCTAGATTACACTTATTCTACCTAACTAAAATATGATCATGCCTTGATTTTTATTATTTCATTAGGACATTAAGGTCTGACTTTGATTAGACAAAAGTCTTGTCACTTAACATAAATAATGTACAATGTAGAATATAAAGTCATGGTGCAGTGGAAAAAGCATGAATATTGTGCATGACTCCCATGAGCTTGGACGACTGCATCCATGCTTCTCTGCAATGACTCAAATAACTTATTAATAAAGTCATCTAGAATGGCAAAGAAAGCGTTCTTGCTGGACTCCCAGAGTTCATTAAGAATCTTTGGATTCATCTCCAATGCCCTTTCCTTCATCTTACCCCAGACATGCTCAATAATGTTCATGTCTGGTGACTGGGCGGGCCAATCCTGGAGCACCTTGACCTTTCAGGAACTTTGATGTGGAGGCTGAAGTATGAGAAGGAGTGCTGTCCTTCTGAAGAATTTGCCCTCTCCTGTGGTTTGTAATGTAATGGGCAGCACAAACGTCTTGATACCTCAGGCTGTTGATGTTGCCATCCACTCTGCAGATCTCTCGCATGCCTCCATACTGAATGTAACCCCAAACCATGATTTTTTTCTTCACCAAACTTGACAGATGTTTATGAGAATCTTGGGTCCATGAGGGTTCCAATAGGTCTTCTGCAGTATTTTTGATGATTAGGACGCAGTTCAACAGATAATTAAATGGCAAAATCTACCTTCTGCCGTTTTCCAAATGACCAACTAGAAAACAAGTTATTATTTGTTGCTTATACAATTGGGATCGAAGACAAGACTTTTGTCAGGTAGTGTATATTCCATGAGTTATGAAAAGGCAAACTAAGGTAATGGCAAAACAGTCTGGTTTAAACTATTAGACTATTCTGCTGAGAGATAAAAAAAAGATGTGTGTTAAAATATCATACACTGTGTTTAAGATATACTTATACTTATACTTATATATTTATATATATATATATATATATATATATATATATATATATATATATATATATATATATATATATATATATATAAGGTAGATTTTATCAATTCAATAAAAACATTGATACAAAACAAAATACAGTAAATATACTGTATTTGTACTTGTATGTCTGTATGTATATATATATATATATATATATATATATATATATATATATATATATATATATATATATATATATATATATATAAAACACACATGTTGTTCTTTTAAACGGTAATTTGTATGGTATGATAACCTTGGATAAAAATATCACAGTTTCACAGTATTGTAATTAAACTAAAATAAAATACATTTATAAAACAAAACAAAAAACACACATATACCCTAGGAATGGAATAGCAGAATATTTTGGCGGTTTTAAGACCTTGACTTTTCCAAACGGCAATATACCTTGAAAATGGTTATCGGCCCATGCCTAGTAATATATAGATTTTTTTTTTCTTCCAAAAGATCATATGACACTGAAGACTGGAATAACAGCTTCTGAAAATTCAGTTTTGCCATCACACGAATAACTTACATGTTTAAATATATTAAGATGTAGAGTCATTTTAAATAGTAAAAATATATTATATACCCCAATTTTGCTCAAATAAATAGCCTTGATATCCATATGACTCTTTTTCAAGAAAATAAAATGTGCATAAAAATAGTATAATGTACACTGTAAATAAAAAAAAAACAATTTTGGTTGCCTTTAAGACTTTAAATTTACAAGCAATTGTATACAGTTGTGCTTTATTTTTACAGGAATTATTAATTGACAGTTTGCATGTGTATTTACTGTCTTATTGGAAACCAAAAATGCCAATAAGCTATTGTACATTTTACAGTAAATTGTAATTATTAATTTACAGTGTGCTTTATAAATTTACAGTCTTCCAAGCAACCAAAATTGCCAGTAAGTTACTGTAAATTTTTACCTTTTTTTACAGTTTATATTGTATTTATTTCAGAAATAACAATAATAATAATTCTGCACATCATTCACTCATAGCAAACTTAATGGTAATGGCTGTTAGAATGCAGTAATTCACAGTATTGACCAATGGTTTTGTTCATCTGACTGACCAGATTTGACTTTTCAAAAAGAAAGTCAGCTAGACTAGAATGAGTGCTGTAGGCTTTTCTATTAATAGTTCCTTTAGAAACAGCTGACATCAGGAGAGAAAATAGTCAACCTGTTTTCTTACCTTCCCTGAGGACTTGATCCCTTTAGCCAAAGAGGCATAAACAATAAGCCAAGCCAGAAACAGACAAGCAGCCAGTGGCCAGCGGATATCGCCTGGATATTCAATACCCTTCGAAATATGCAACACATTATACCTGTCAAGAAAGCAGAGTGATTAACATCCAAATATCCTGCAGATAAAGCACACAGATAGAGAAAAGGAAAAGCACACTTACTTGAAGTACTCCTCGCTAGGGCTGACATAGGTTTTATTGTCCACTGTGACATTCAACAGTTTACTTAAATTCCCAACCACATTTGCAGATAAACAGAATGTAGTGTTCTTGATGGACGTGATGTTTCGGTCTCTTAGAATACACGTGTCTGGCCAGAAGAAACAATGACAGAACTTGGAATCAACTTGAAAACCAGTTTCCTGTTTATCATCGTCATTCACTGCCTAGCTGAAAAATAAAAACACTCTACAACATATTAAGTCAAACATATCAAACAAACCTTGTAATTTCACACACACTGTAATAGTATATCTGTGACTTAAAATACTTTATAGAATCTAAAAATGGCTAATAATTCTAGACGTATATAAATGTAAATAACTTAATATTACAAATCAATTTTACAGAACATTTCTGGTCACTTTTTTTCCACACATTGTAAAAATGGGTACCTTCAATTATTTAAGTTAAATCAAATTAACTTTGAGACATTTTAACTTTTTTTTGCCCTTCAAAAACAATTTAGGCCAAGCTCAATTCCAACGTAATCTTTCACAAACTGACTGAGAATGTCACCTATACAATCAATCAAATATAAAGCGATAAAATTTAAAAGATAAATAAATAAATATTTAAAAGAATAATAATAACTTAACAAAAATAAACAACATACTGTGCAGGCATCAAACAGAAACTTTGTAAGAGGTAAAAAAAAACATATTCTTGAAACAAATCGTAGTTTTTTTGCCTTCTCATCCTTGAATATTTTTAAAGTCTCTGCATAGGTGGGAAACTCCTTTTTAAAGACAATCAAATTAGGAGCTGTTTTCAAAAGTTTGCATTTATAAATGAAGAATTTAAGTAAAAAAAAGTAAATTTGCAGTTAAGTCATCATCTTTGTTCCAATGTACTGTAAATTTCACAATGTCCCAGCAAATAGGAGAAAACATTGAGTTTTATTGTTTTATCTAGTTGCCCACATCAGACCAGAAAGGATTAACCAAATTACAATGTAGAAATTGATGTTCAACAGTTTCAACATTACTATTGCAGAATTGGCATAAACAGCTTATATAACTTAAACAAGACTCAGTTTAATAAGTTAAATAAAATAATAACATATGTTGTCATGGCTTAATGATCATATTTTTAAAGGGAATTATTTTACTCTCAAATACAATTTATATGCAATAAAAAATATTTTAGAGCTTGAAATTGTTGTCGGACTAAAATTGTATTAATTCCCATAACTTTTCAGATTCAGAAATCACATTTTTCAGCGTTTCTCATAAGCCTGATCCCCATAAAACATATAAATATAACATAACAATTTAAAGATTTGTGTATATATTTTTGCATTTATTTTATTAGCTCAATTTAAACCTCGTTTTGTCTTGTGTCAAATGATGTTAAGCCATCTAGCGGCCCTCTTGGAGTTTGCTGAGTCTCTGGTTGAGAAAAGCTGCTGTACAGTCTTTGATTCATGCGCAGATTTCAAACAGGCCACGAGGTGGCAGTGCATCTCACTGCGGCACTGCACCAACTCTTACAGTAAATTTGTCAAGCAAGCAGATTTTCTGCTGAATTCACCAAAAGCACGACATTGAGAAGAGCGTTTTGCAACGAATTAAAACGCAAAAATGTTAGCAAGTTTTTTTTTCCCGATGGGTAGCAAAAAATATGATGCATTGTTGAAATTACATTATAAGCAAAAATAATTCTGAAGACCACACTGCTTTTTTTTACTGAACGAACATCCATATAAAAATAAAAAGGCACAATTAACTTGCATTGCTTGGCAGTATTAAAATAGAACAACTCATATTAATTCAAACTAAAATCTTTCATTTATTGTAACTCAGAAAAAAACTGTCAAGTCATCAAATAAGAACTTTTGGTGCAATGAACAGAAACAGTTGCGTCTGGGGTGCACAGACAAAAGTGCATAACCTAAATGGAGTGGTAGGTTACTTAATTCTTGAAATACAGGTTGCGCATTGCGCATTTTAGTTAGAAAAAAGAAGGGGGTTAAGGGGTGGACAGAGAGTGTGTGTGTATGTGTGTGTATGAGAGAGAGAGAGGGAGAGAGAGAGAGAGACTCATCCTTACCCAAAAGCAGCATGTCTTTGTCTTTGCACTCGACGGTGTTCCATTCATTTTTACAGGTGGCCCATGGCAGTGTCTCCTTCAACGAAGCGAACAGGTAGTACAATGTCCAGCACATAATAATATTATAGTATATGGCTATCAAGACAGATATTATCAACATGGCAATCCCGCAACCTATAATAACAAAATGAAACCAGACAATAGAAATTACACTTAAAGCAGACTTACAGCCGATTACCATTTCACTGAAAACACTCATTAGGCACATTAGCACAAGCTTAACGCAGTTTAGCCATCGATTATTAAAGTAACGCCAGTTTACCTTGTAGAGCTGGAATCGCTTTCCACACCGACACCGGGCCTTGGCTGGCGAACTGACCCAACGACACCTCCAACAAAAATATAGGTATACCGGCGAGGCCTAACATGATTAGGTAAGGTATCAAAAACGCACCTAAAAAAAGAGGAAAAAAAGTGCCGATGAAGGAAATAAAAATCCTGACTCATCAATTGTGCATCTGTAAAGAACTTCAATTAATAAAATAAATTAAATTATAAAACTCATTTTTCGTTTAACTGTTACTTTTTTAATAATACTACATTAATATATATATATATATATATATATATATATATATATATATATATATATATATATATATATATATATATATATATATATATATATATATATATATATATATATATATACACCGAAAAAAAATAAGGAAAATAAAACAATGATTATACACTGTTCAATGCCTATTAATAATATTTAATTTTTTTATGATCCGTACATTATAATACAGTTCTTGCATAAAACGAATTTTAATTCCATTGACAAAACAAATGCTAGGCTATATATTTTAATTTAGTTTCAATGAAAAATATACGGATAAATTCCCACGCATGGACAGTCCAAACTTTCAAACGATTCATTTTGTATATATAAAAAAAATCTATCTCAAAAATCGTACTGATCATTTCTTGTGTACTGCCTCTTGAATATTCCTCACCTCCCCCGTTCTGGAAAGCAAGATATGGGAATCTCCACACATTTCCCAAGCCCACGGCATATCCCACCATGGACAGAATAAAGTCCAGTTTGTTGGACCAGTTTCCCCGAGCCTTATTCTCATCTCCTCCATCATCATCATCATCGTCCTGGAACAACCGCCCAGTATCATCTGTGGGGGGCTATTATACACAATTTAATAGAAATTCGTTTATTACAGACTATTACAACTCATTAAAATATAAACACAGCGCTTTAAAAAAGCATCAAATACAATAATGCTCCCCCAACTAATTTAGCTTCATTTTTGTGACAAGGGTATAAAGGGGTCGCCCTGGGCTCTGATGAATGCCCCAATGGGAATTGTACCATAAGCAGATTCTTATGTAACACATTATCCTGCTGCAACACCACACAACAGAAACAATCTCTGGGGACAATGGCCCTCACAATTCAGAGTACGCATAGATAAACTTGTAAATTCATATCAGATTTTAAATTGTAACTCTTGAACTAAGCGGTTTGTTTCAGTAGCGATGCAGTATCCTAATACATGACAGCATTTGATGTATTCAGGTTCCCTGACACATCCTCTTACCCCACTGTTGTAATTATTGTGCTGTCAGAAATAATCACTATCAGTGTTCAAATCTTTCCAGATTGGAAGCAGATTTCGTTTCGCTGTCCAATTTTTAGAGTTTAAATAGCAATGTTCTTAAGTCCATAACACTTCATGATTTACTACAATATGCAAACATTATATTTAAACAGACAGAAGCCTTTTTTCTTTTTAAATTGACTTTTACCATAGTAAACTCTTACAAAACCAAACGGATTTGTAGTCTAAACAAAAGGTTTAGCCTTTAGGTTTTTAATTATTTGTGTGTTTTTTTAAACTTAATGTAAATACTGTAATATTTTACCTGTCTCCAACTAGTTTGAGTGCATCGAATGGATATAGGATTGGAGTTTAGCCCACATTTAAACGCCCCACTTCTAATTTATTACATATAAAATGTTAAACCAAATTTACAACCTTTAACTTATTATTATTTAACCATTGTTCGGTGATTCTACAAATTTCCCAAGCGTTAAATCAAAATTACAGTTCTATCGGTCGTAAAAGACAGTTGCAACTAGCTGCAGTTCCACAGTGCAATATACATATGAAAAAACAACAACACATCATAGCGTTTGCTTTAGCTCAAGACTCTCCCCGTTACGCTCACGGGTGATTGGCTGATTCTGCCGGATTGAAACGTTCATTTGTAACCACTTACCCCGGTCACCGTGCCAGGCAGAACAGATGTATTGCCATCTGTACCCAGTATGATGGTGGTCTGGCTCATGGAGGTCCAGTCGCCGGTGCTGTTGTTATGCTCCGCCGCGATCCTTACAGCACTTTGATTGTTAGACATGAAGTCCGACGTTGCTTTACCGGTCGATGCATCCATTTTACCGACGGAATCCTTGCGCACGGCAGAATTAACGCCAGCAAACGTGGGTCCAGGTGCAGTGTTTTTAAACGTCCCGTATGCTTTATTGGCTTCCATATCGCACGGTTTATTTTCCGAGGGACAAAAAGTTTTCCGTTCATTTACTGGCGGCGGCGGGGGCGCCGGTTTGCTGTTCTCCGGTTTGGTGTTAGTTGTAGCTCCAACCGGTCCCCCTGAGGGCTGAGGCGGAACGCTGTTTGACGGCTGTCTCAACATTTCCCCGTGCTCAGAAAAATCCTGCAACGTTAAATACACATTAGATGTAGGCAGTAGCTGTAATTAGCGTAATAATTAAATGCTATTGCATGCCTCTAGCTACAAAACGTTCAGACATATACCAACCCGTATAGTCAGCACAACAAAATAGGATATTCACGCTTCCATATTCTAACTTCTGCTACTGGACATGTCTGCTGCTCCACTTCTTTGATTTTCAGCTCACGGACGGTCGCTGTTTGCTTCTTGCTTTTACCATTAGAGAAAGATTCTTTAATTTTACGCCTCATTTACCTCCTGTCATTCAACCCCGGCACATCCCCTGGTTTTATGGGCAATAGACAAGCTGCCGGGCTCGGCCAAAGCTTTTCCCCCCTGCGGCAGGCACCGGTCCCGGTGCAAGTGTGCAGTGCAATCCGGGGGTGCAAACATGGAACATTACACCAACAATTACATTGCACCACAGGAGAACACTGTTCTAAGATCAATTTAAAATTGTTCAAATATCCTAGTTAGCCTATGTTCAGACCAAAAGAAAATAAAAATAAAAACATTAATACACGGTTAAAATCTGGCTGTATTTCTGTTAATAATTGTTAAAATAAAACTAACGGTATTTAATGCTGTATTATTTTCTTATACCACAACTAATTATTCCGTTGTAATACTGTAAAAATGGAGTGCTGAAAAGTTTCAGCACTGTGGACAGCGACTAATTAATGAACGCATTTAAAACGATACTTTTCGTTTCCAAAACTGTTGTAAAAAATCTGCAAAGCGTTCACAGCAAAACACACAAAGCGTAAAGTAATGAATGTGCTGTACTCACCATTTGTGCAGAGTCAACAAATGTGGGTTAATAGCAGAAAACAGCTGGAAGGACGGCAGGCAGACTGAGTTTGGCTGTGCAAAGTGCAAAGCTTTCTATATCTCCGTGGGAAAGACCGGGTTTGCGTCAGTGCATGGCAAGGTACCCTTCGCATGACATTTTCTTGATAATAGGGCTTTGATAAATCATTGGCCTTCAATTCTGATTTTTAAAGGGGCAACAAGCGCAGACGTGAGCTCGTGACACACACCAGGCAGCGCGAGACTACGTTTGGGGACGGACTGGCTCGTGACTGATTAATAAACTTGTCCCTCAGGACTATGTAAAGATGTTCATCTGACGCACAGAGAAGATTCTGCAGACGCAGGCATCATGGTGCCTGCATATTTGACCGAGTCCTATATGCATATAGATAAATTGAATGACTTTTCATCATGCAAGATTATTAAAAATAGATAACAGGTCCATTTTGTATTTTCTAATTATATTAAATAACCGCTTGGTTATTTATGTTCAGTGCACAGGAATTATTATTTTTTTATTTCAATAAGTCCACGAAAACAAGTTTTGAAATAACTGGTGTATATTTTACATCATTTACTAAGTTAAAAATCAAATAATGAACTTTGCAAAATTCTGAAAGAGCATTATGAAACTTTTTTAGCCCATTTCCCTAAGTGTTTGCGTAATTCACGGTTCTATACGTCAAACTGACGCCCACGTTCCTGCGTCACTGGCACATATATTGCTCAAGTGTAAAAGTGGGCGAGGTTTTCGGAGGAGTGGAGGCACTCATTTGTTAAAGTTTTACGCAAGACAAAAGAGGAGTATTCTTCTATTTTTAGCTTTAGTGCAACCACACTGCATGCATCACCCCTGGAAGTACAGTAAATCACGGAAATTATTTATTTTAAGGATTAATAGTTGTTTTTGTGAAGAACACATGTGTTACAGTAGGCTATAACAGATTTTGGGCTTGAATGTTTTTTTAATATCAAGGTGCCGAATTGCTTATTATATAGATAGTGTTGCCATTTGATTAAATATATTATAAAGCGAGTTAATCAAGAGATACATATAATACTCTCGGTAAGGTGTTATTCAATCTGCGTCCAGCTCAGTTCCTCAGTCTTGATATCACTCTCTACGCGCGCGCTGCTGCAGTGACCATCATAAATCTGCGCCCGCGCGCCTGTGATAAGCCTCTGTGCGGCTGGATTAGCTCTTCGCTCAGGGTTTAATTGCTTTGTCAACAGAGAATAATTGTAATTGATTTCTGCCTCTCTTTTCGAGTCACCTTTATACGTTCTCTTTAAAGCACGGTAAAGAGAAACAAGGTGCGCCTTAAGTAAAAAGAGTCAACAGAAATGCGCTTTTGCGTGGCCTGCTTAACATTTCCCTCATGAACAATTCGGTTTCTCATGCTGTTTTAAATTAAAAGAATTATTATTATTTTGGTGGATTAATTTTTTAAAATTGTTTTGCTTTTTGATAATTGACAGCACACATTTTGTATCTGATAAGGAATAAATTGTTCAAATAAAGAAGTTCTTTTCGCTTCACTTTATGTTATCCCATAATTAATCGCACAAGATAAGATTATGCATCAGCCGATAGTCGTTTGTCTTTAATGGGATGTTGATAAAACACAAAAACGTCCCCGTAAGGTATGGAATATTAATGGAGTGTTAAAGGGCCTAGTCTACTACGCTTTCTTCAAGTCCCAAAGTAAACGATTATCAGTTTATCTGTCATTTTTAAGATGCAACGCAAACTGGCTGCGACGTGCACGCGCATAAGGGAGCAAGAGCGCTAGTGTGAGTATTGGAACATACCTAGTAGCCCAAATCATTTGCTACAATATTTAAGTTTCAAAATGGTGCTTTTTTTCCCTAAAATATAATTTAATAAATATGTAATATTAATAAATAAATAAACGTTGCAAACCCAAAATAGCCAAAATAATAAGTAATTTCAGACATGAAGATTAACCTACTATAGACAATAGTTTAGTTATTTTATCAGCTTTCAGCATAGGCTACTGTACTACTGAAATATCTGCTCCACTGACTGCCATTCAAACAGAGTATGGACGTGCGTCCCAATTCGCGTTTATGTTTACTATTTATGCATTTTTAAGTACAGTGCAGATACAGGTGTTCACATTGAAAATGAAAACAAAAATTACCAGATATAAATAACCTAAATTTAATACAAAAAATAAAAACCAAGTATAGAATTTTGGACAATTACGTAGTGGAGGGGGCGGGGCTTTCAGACTTGATTGACAAAATAATCAAGATCATACACTAGACAGTTGAGTACACTGTATATAAAGCGTCATTTGGGTCACAACTCCAATTTTTTACACTCAAAAAAAAAAAACTTAGTTGAGGTTGAGAAACATCACAACTCTTGCCATTTCTTTGCCCAATTTATTTGTTTTGTTCATTCCTCTAAATTTGTAAACCATTAAGTTAACTTATGCTTTGCTTTGCGTGGGATTGAATTAAGAGAGAAATTTTGACAAGAAAAACAAGAATCTATGGTGTTTAAAGCTAATAGTAAGACTTGTTAGAGTTTAATTATTTTATTTAGAAGATTTTCATGGAATATTTTGAGTTTTGAGATTACCACTTTGCAGAAGCACCCATGATTTGTAAAAAAAAAAAAAAAAAAAAAAGGCAGTTTGTTGCTTTGATCAGTGAGCAATAACTGTCCTAAAAGTAGTTGTGAAATCAGTCTTAATCAACTGTATGTAGCTCATGAATGGCTCTTTCAGTTAATTTAGGATAACTTCAAATAAAACTGAGAGACTTTGAAATGTATGACACATAATAGACATCATAATATTATCAGACCTTTAAGTTAAATAAAAATACAAATATATGTTTACTTTTATTTCATAAAATATTGTTGGACACACCTAATTGCATTTAATTGTGTAAATATTTATTTATTTATTATTATTTTTTTTTGGTTAGTGCTAACCCAACTATTGGATGGAAATCCAGCCCTCAATTAAACTGAGTTCATCCAATGTTTATTTTTTGAGTGTACTGGAACCTCAACTAAGTTTTTTTTTTTTTTTTTTTAAGTCAGCCTTAGAAATGACCCAGGACTGCTGGCTGAATATCTGTTGGATATATAGCACACATAACTAGAAAAAATGTGGGAGTTTAGAAGTCATCATCTGATTGGAGGATTGTGTGCATTCTATAATACCTGCCTGGAAACGAATTTGGTTGCTTTACATGTCTTATTTAGCCAATAAAAGCTGAAGACTCCTAAGACTATATAGCATATAGAGCTGATATCAAAATGGCTCTGGCTGTGCTGTAATATAAACAAAACATATTGGCTTCTCAATACGTTTTGCCATGACCTCCTTCACGTCAGAGGGACCTTTAATGACAGTGAATGCTATTATGGAATGTGATCAGAGCTAAACATCTTCATAAGAAACATGAAATCTGTGTTGATTATAGATAGATAGATACTGTAGATAGATAGATAGATAGATAGATAGATAGATAGATAGATAGATAGATAGATAGATAGATAGATAGATAGATAGATAGATAGATAGATAGATAGATAGATTAGATAACAATTTTTGTAAACTAAAGAAAAGTGTTCAAGACTGACTTTTAAATGAAAGCTTGCAATAATGTGTGCTGATACAAATTTCAAGATTCTTTTAAAAGACTTTTGCCCCCAATCTGCGAACATATATTTCAATATACATGTAGATATCTACACAATAGTTTCCATTGTTAAAATGCATACAATGAGTATAAAATAATGTGTGACACATGTACATATTTAGGTGTTTAGAAACTTTTTAGCTC